GCTGGTGATAGCTGAACCATCAAACGCGACACGAAGTTTGGTGCTCGTGCTTTGTTCCTTCAGCACGCAATGATGAGGGAGAAAATATTTGCATAAACGTAACGACTCTGTTGGCAACCTTTGAAAATGCTCCTCGCAATTAAGCTCTTCCTTTGTTGCTTTAGCAACAGGGTCTGGAAAACTTTCTATTTCCCAAAATCGTTGAATTAACTCATCAGTTCGGCCATTCGAATAAGTGCGGGCATCAAACGACACACGATTGGTACCGCCTTGCTGGGCACCGCCACCTGAAACTATCCATCCAAAGCGTGTTTTCTGCTGAAGAGGCAATCCCGGAAGCAGTTTTATTTGACCGACACACATTAGCTAGTAGAATAGACCAGCTCCGATTACAAAGTCAACTCGCTGCGGCTTGTAAAAGCAAAGATCAAAAAGGCGAATATATTCAGGCACATTCCATTTAGTTGTATTAAGGGCGATGATTGGCTGGCGATCTGCTATAGTGGAAGCTACGATGGCTGCGATGATTGCAGAGTACTCTGACAGCCGCAGTGCATCCATCAGTAGCGAAAGGGGCGCTTTTCAGGCCAGCAACTGCGGCTGAAGATGGACTTTTCTTCAAATGAAGCTGTTGAGCGAATCGGGATGTAATTAAATGTAGCTGTGACCCACCATCCAATACAGCACGACACGGAACTAGAGTTCCAGACTGATTTTTAACTAGTACAATAGCAGTGGCCAGGAACACAACATTGTTGCTGAGGTTTTGGGCAACAAGAAGGGTAGAGGCGGGGGCTTAAGAAGATGCAGTAGGAGTGACAGAGTGATGAATCGAATGCAAAACGTGCAGAAGTGTGTGGTGTGTGGTGTCTGGAGCCACATGTGCGATAAGTTCCGGAATTGCATGTTCGTAAAAGATGTCCCCTTTTAAGGCAGTTGACGCATAAAGATAATCGTTTCCTTTCTTGAGACGCATCTCTGGCATTGCCATATATTATGCTCTTCACCATTACAAAATACGCAAACAGCCATTGAGTTAGTAGTCCTACTGGGGTTAGTCTCTTTGTTCTTGCCCACCTAAGAGCTCTGCGTATAGGTTGCCATAGCATAATCCACACTCTCGAGGGCTCTGCAGCGTTTCTCCAAAAATTTAGCAATTTGTGCCCATGATGGAATTAAATTTACAAAGGCGGGATCCTCCAGCTTCTCTTCCCACTTCGCCTGCGTAGCAGGATCCAGTTTTTGGAGTAGCACCTGAACAAGGATGCAACCAGCAATTTGCTCCTTGCTACCCAAACTGGCGATTGCACGAATATGGGCATTGTTGCGGGACGAATTAAGTTATCGATTGTTTAGTATTAAGTATATTCTGAGAGTATGTATTTTTGCCCTGTGAATGTACGGGCACATTGTATTTGGCTTGTTGCCGCCATCACTTAAATGTTAAGCTCATTATTGTCGTGAGTTAGAAGGCCGTAGGAGGGAAGACTGCGGTAAGATTCTGAGGGAATATATATTTAGGTTCTAACCTATATAATCCGTTCAGAATAAAACACTTGCACTAGCACGTTTTGCATTACGCTGTCTCTATTAACATCGGAGTAACATGGCCAGTGGCCAGGCGTAAACCTTGCAGTGTTCAAATTGCAACTCCACCTTCGTTTGGCGCGCGACATGATCTTTTATTCGCAGTTCTTATTGTAAGAAACTGCAAGGGCGACTTGCACTGGAGATAAGACGTGGTGTAACTTTGGAGTTACAGTGCGTGTAGATAGACACAGCACAGGCAGGGCCTCCACCCCAGTTATAGAGTTACCATTGGTACGCAGCCAGCGTAAAATATAGTAGAAGTCATCTCCGAGCTGAACAGGATGACACAACGGTCACCCAGGAAAAGCCCACGCCTGAATGATGGCCAGGAGATAACTACCACGGCGAGTGAGGTGCCACCGAAGCGGACAAGTAGAATGGTGAGCACTGTATCACAAATGCAAGTTCCCGCTGTGAGCGCGCCACAAAGCCCCAGCACCGAGGATGTGGGCACAAGGGTACAACCTGCCGGCACTGTGGCCGCAGGAGTGAGTGCACGAGCCAGCATATTGACAGGAGCGCCAAGCCCAAGCACGCAACTCTCAAGTGCTCAAGTCATGGATTTGATAAAGAGAGTCGCTGCGCTAGAGCACGAGTTGCAGAGGTCAAAAACTGGTCAAGCACATGTGAGTACAGTTACTGATCCCGTTAAATTGAGTGATGCTGGCGTGGGTCGTACAGCTAACCTGCCGCCATTTTTGAGTGGAGAGCCATCGTCGAGTGGAAGTTTGAGAGAAACTGCAATTATGAGTGGAGCCCCAAATTCAAGTGTTAGTTTGAGTGAAACTGCAATATTGAGTGGAACTGCCATTTTGAGCAGATCGCCATCTTTGAGTGAGGCATTGCCTACTTCATTGAGTGGAAATTTGGGACCACAGTTGCAAACGGTAGAACGAGCTACAGTTATGGATAACTGTTCTACAACATCAAGCCGCTCGACGCCATATTGTTCTGCAGGCATTGCGCAGTCAACGCTCAGCCACACGCCGGCACAAGAGAACCAACCTGTGATCATTTTGGAGCCAACGCAGGCAACTGGGAACTTCGCATGGGCGACACCCAGGAACGATGTATGCCTGCTACGCAAATTACCAGATCTACCCGAGTTTGGAGGCCAACCTGAGGATTGGCCTATATTCTTCTGCGCGTTTACGGAAACAACTTTGGCGTACAACTGTACGAATCTGGAGAATAACCAGCGATTGTTGAAGGCACTCAAAGGCGAAGCACGTGATACTGTGAAGTCGTTGCTCATACATCCCAGGAATGTGAACAACGTGATGGAACAATTACGTTTTAGATATGGCCGTCCAGAACAACTAATACGCAGCCAGCTAATTAGTATTCGAGAGGTGCAGCCAATTCAAGAGCACAGCATAGCGAAAATCGTGCCATTTGCTACACGAGTGAGTAACCTTGCCGCCTTTCTACGATCAGCTAACGGAGAACAGCATTTAGCGAATCCTACACTGATGGAGGATTTGGTCGCTAAGCTACCACCAAGCAAGAGGGTGGAGTGGGCCAGACATGCAGCTACGATTAGGCCTTTCCCGACTGTCGTACATTTTAGCGCGTGGTTAACGGACTACGCCAATTTGGTATGTATGATTGTGGACGTCGATGGTAAGGAGCAGAAGCGTAGAGTGCTGCATGCCAGCATTGACCAGAATAATGAAGGGCGACACCGAGGTCGCACCAAACAGTGTCCAATCTGTAATGGACAACACGCAGTCAGGGACTGCAACGAGTTTAACTTAGCCTCTCCGCTAAAAAGGTGGACGTTTGTTAAAAGGCACCGGCTTTGTTTCTCGTGCCTACGAGATGGCCACATGGCAAGAGTCTGCAAAAGGGCAAACGAATGTCAAGTCAATGGTTGCCGAAAGAGGCATCATCGCCTTTTACATGATCATGATGCTATGAGTCACAATGCACCGCAGCCAGCGGGTGATAGAGTGATGAATATTGGACGGATGCCGCAGCCAGCGGATCCGCACACAAGGGCACCGCAGCCAGTGGATGCTCAATTGACGCAACAAACGAATTTAAGTTGTGTCGATTCGGATGGAGAACGCCTACTATTCCGCATATTGCCAGTGACATTGCACGGGGCCAATAAGCGGATCGATACGTATGCACTCCTCGACGAGGGCTCGTCCGTAACTATGATAGACGACGAGCTACTGCGCGACCTAGATGTCAAAGGGGAACGCAGGCAACTAAATATACAGTGGTTTGGTGGAAGAGCAACCAGGGAGCCGACCACAGTGGTAAGCATGGAAATTAGTGGAGCGGACAAACGCAAACGTTATGTGCTGCGAAATGTGTACGCCGTGTCCAACCTGAGCTTACCGATGCAAAGTCTGCATCGACGTGATGTACAAATGTTGGACAACGGTGCACGACTTCCAATGAAACCGTATCGCGGGGCGGTACCAAAACTTCTGATTGGACTGGACCATGCGCATCTTGGACTGCCAATGCAAACAAGAAGGTTTGCACCACAGGGACCATATGCCGCAGCCACCGAACTTGGATGGGTGGTTTTTGGGCCGGTAAGAGGTCAACCAACGGCAAGGACAACAAAGTCATGCCTCCTAGCAGTGTCGCAGGAGGATGCAATCCAAAAGATGGTAAACGACTATTTTGATATCGAGAACTTCGGTGTGAAGCTTACGTCACCAGTCGCAGCCAGCGACGATGCACGAGCACAGAAGATACTCGAAGACACCACGGTGAAAATAGGGGAACGTTACCAGACAGGTTTGTTATGGAACCGTGATAATGTTGAGTTGCCACGAAGCTACGATATGGCATACAAAAGATTGGTCAACATTGAGAGAAAGATGAAGCGTAACGATCAGTTTAAACGAGCCTATATGAAAATTATGGACGATTATGTTCATAAAGGATATGCTCGACGCTTGAAGCATCATGAGGTCGCTTTAGCCAACAGCGACAAACTTTGGTATCTGCCGCACTTTGGAGTTGAAAATCCAAATAAGCCCGGTAAGATAAGACTGGTGTTCGACGCGGCAGCAAAGGTCGGTGACATTTCATTGAATTCGGCATTATCCAAGGGGCCGCAGCACTACAAGTCGCTGCCGGCTGTTCTCTTCCATTTCCGGGAAGGTGCGGTTGGCGTTTGTGGAGACATCAGAGAGATGTTCCATCAAGTGTTGATTCGACCGCAGGATAGATGCGCCCAGCGATTCTTGTGGCGAAACGGCGATGACCGCCGGGAGCCTGATGTTTATGAGATGAGGGTAATGACATTTGGAGCAGCATGCTCGCCAAGCACCGCGCACTATGTGAAGACCTTGAATGCCCTGCAGTATCAGGATTCAGACCCTCGTGCGGTTAAAGCTATTCTTGAATGTCATTATGTGGACGACTATGTGGATAGTTTTGATAGTGAAGGCGACGCCATCGCCATATCAACAAGAATAAGAGAAATACATGCAAATGCTGGATTTGAATTGTGCCAGTTTACTTCCAGTTCGCCAACCGTAGCTGACGCCCTGGGCCAACATGGGGCTGCTAGGAGCATCGGATGGGGCGAAGCTGAAGAAAAGATTCTGGGCATGTGTTGGCAGCCAGCCACGGACGATTTCAAATTCAACATGAGGTACCACAAAGTACCCCGATGTGTGCTAAATTTGGAGCGAGTACCTACGAAGAGGGAATTCTTGAGCTTGATCATGTCAACATTTGATCCCTTGGGATTTCTTAGCTGTCTCATGATAACTGGAAAGTTACTTATGCGTGAGATCTGGCGACGAAATGTGCAATGGGATGAACCCTTACCAGATGAGATCGCCCGCGCCTTTAGTAAATGGTTTCAGGATATGAACAATGTGGAAGGATTTCGAAGCTCGCGCCATTACTTTGGCCCAATACCCGTGCGGGCAATACAACTGCACGTTTTTGTCGACGCTAGCCAGTCAGCATTCGCAGCTGTGGCTTACTTAAGGGTAACCTACGACAACAACGACGTGCGAGTATGCTTCGTATGTGCCAAGACGAAATGTGCCCCAATGAAAACGATGTCAATTCCACGACTGGAATTGCAAGCTGCTGTGTTAGGAACGAGGCTGATGGACACTGTCAAAAAGGAGCACAGTATAGCGATCAGCGATGCCATACTATGGACTGACTCAAAGACAGTGCTGCGTTGGATAGGCAGCACCCACCGTCGATATAAGCAGTTCGTCGGAAATCGAGTGGGAGAAATTTTGGAGTCAACAAAGGTTACCCAATGGAGATGGGTACCTACTGCTGAAAATGCAGCAGACGACGCAACGAGGCCGCACTGCCACGTAGACCTCAGCCAACGGTCACGATGGTTAGACGGGCCAACATTTTTGCGGCAGCCGGAAAGCAGCTGGCCGCAGCCCGAACCGGGCACCGAACACTCATCCTGCGATGATGAAGAAGAGATGCCGAGTGAATTTGCCTTAGTTGCAGCAAATAACTTTTTCATTTCATTTCAGAGATTCTCTAGCTACAGTCGGCTGGTGAGGACGACGGCTTGGGTTCTAAGGTTCACGCGCTGGTGCCGTGGACATAGGACTGAACTTGAGAGATTCGGCCTCACCGCTACGGAATGTGAGGACGCTGAGAAATTGCTGATACGGCGAGCGCAATGCGAAGCATTCCCTGACGAGGTTCGAGCCTCGTACAATGAAGAATCAGTCGGTCATCGAAGCGAAATAAGAGGGCTGGCGCCCTACTTGGATGACAATGGAGTCTTGCGTGCGTATGGCAGGATCGATGCCGCACTGTGTATACCGCATAGTGCGAGAAGGCCAATAATCTTGTCACACCGGCACGCACTGACGGAACTGATTGTGTATCACTACCATGTGAAAATGAAGCATCAAAACGTGGATGCAACGATGGGCGACATCAGGACCAGGTTTTGGATAACAAAGCTGCGTCGAGTGTTGCGTACAGTAATATCTGGATGTAGTGTGTGCAAGCTACATAGAGCGCAGCCAGCGCCACCTATAATGGGTCCTTTGCCAGAGGACAGACTGGAGGCCAATGGATGGCCATTTAAGTTTACGGGTCTGGACTACTTTGGACCACTTCTTGTGACCAACGGACGTCGAAAGGAAAAGAGATGGGTTGCCTTGTTTACGTGTCTGACAACAAGGGCCATACACTTGGAGTTGGCACATGACCTGTCAACTGATTCCTGCATAATCGTGATCAGGAACTTTCTTTGCCGTCGCGGGCCTGTACTGAGGTTGCGCAGTGACAACGGAAAGAACTTTGTTGGGGCCGATAGAGAAGCCAAAAGGCTCATAGATGTATTCGAGCCGGAGAAGATTCAGGGTGAGCTATCTTCTAGGGGCATTGAATGGATTTTTAACTGCCCAGCGAACCCAGCTGAAGGAGGAGCCTGGGAAAGGATGGTGCAGTGTGTCAAGAGAGTGCTTCGCCACACAGTAAAGGAGGTGGCACCGAAGCAACATGTGTTGGAGAGTTTCCTGATTGAGGCCGAGAATGTTGTGAATTCGCGCCCGCTTACTCACTTGCCAGTATCTGTGGATCAGGAAGCCCCCCTAACACCGAACGATCTACTCAAGGGAGTAGCCAATCTGCCTGACACACCCACTATTCATGAGCAGCCGGACGAGAGATGCGCCACAAGGAGGCAGTGGCGCATAGCGCGGCTATTACGAGATCGTTTTTGGAAGCGGTGGGTCTTGGAGTACCTGCCTACACTTGTGCGACGCGTGAAATGGTGTGCGCGCGTTGAGCCGATACGCCATGGAGATGTGGTGTTTATATGCGACCCAGCCGTGCCACGCAGGGAGTGGCGAAGGGGCATAGTGGAGGAGCTCTACCCTGGACCAGATGGAGTACCTCGACGCGCCAGCGTACGCGTAGCGGACGGCAATCGAGTGCGACTGATGACTCGTCCCGTGGCTAAACTAGCCATATTGGATGTGAGTGAAGCAGGGCCTTCACGGGGGCGGGGATGTTGCGGGACGAATTAAGTTATCGATTGTTTAGTATTAAGTATATTCTGAGAGTATGTATTTTTGCCCTGTGAATGTACGGGCACATTGTATTTGGCTTGTTGCCGCCATCACTTAAATGTTAAGCTCATTATTGTCGTGAGTTAGAAGGCCGTAGGAGGGAAGACTGCGGTAAGATTCTGAGGGAATATATATTTAGGTTCTAACCTATATAATCCGTTCAGAATAAAACACTTGCACTAGCACGTTTTGCATTACGCTGTCTCTATTAACATCGGAGTAACATGGCCAGTGGCCAGGCGTAAACCTTGCAGTGTTCAAATTGCAACTCCACCTTCGTTTGGCGCGCGACAGGCATTAATCTTATCCGACAATTCGCGCAGCATGCCAGCGGAGTCATTCGCTACCTTCTTGAGCCCCAGCAGTTCAACGATGTGTGCCTGAAATACTAATCGACGGTTATCAAATCGTTTTTGTAATAAATTATTTGCTATGCAATAATTAGCCTCTGATATTTCCAATAATCGAATGGTATCCAGCGCAGAGACCTTCAAGCAGAGCCGCAAATGGTGCACTTTTCAATGCGTCTGAGTTCGGGATGATTTTCGATTAACATTGAAAAGAAGTCTGACCACTTTGTATAACCTCCAGAAAACGTTGCCAATTTGATTGGCGGTAAGGTCGGTAACGCTCTGGATCTAGTCATTGACGCAGTAGCAATAGGTTCATTTACAAATGTGGAGCTGGACGGCAATGCTCTGCTGCGTTTAGCGATTTCAAACCTCACTGAAGTCTCTAAACTTACTGAAAGATCTCTGCCGATTTCTTCAAAGTCTAGTTCTTCCAATTTGTTTTGAGCGTCTTCGAATGCAGATCCCATTTTTTCAATCCGCTTGAGCAGCACCGACAATAAAAATTCATCATTATTGGCAAGGGGCGTTTGGTTGAGGCTAGATTGAAGCCTGCAACCGCTCAGATGAGGACGCCACCTTGCGCATTAAAAATGACACCCTGTTTGCTTATGTAAAATGTCATGGTGCACAGAGACAAACACCTTACTGAAGATAGTGTAAATGACATTAGTTTGCATTTTCGAAAGGATAGCACCATTTACTAAGAAAGTAAACTTAAGCAGATTGGTCGTAGTTGACCGATTCTTTACGAATTCATGTTGAACAGAGGAAACAACTGAGTTGCAGAAATTCGGCAAATTCGAAGTAATTATTTTTTTAAATAATTTAGGAATACCAGACAGTTTTGCAATTCCCCCGTAATTTTTGTATATCAGATTTTCCGCCTTTCTTGTGAAGAGGAATGATATAAGATTCTTTCCAAAGAGATGGAAATATAGAAGTTTCAAGGGATAGATTAAAAAGCTTTAGCAATGGATTGAGTAGACAACTAGGAATATTGTCCTTCCCATGAAAGTAGGAACATTTTAAAGGGCTTATAGCTGAAAGGAGAGGAGTGTCAAATAATGGGAGGAGGTATAGAACTAGTGGAAGAAATAGTATAGGGGTAAGAATTAGTATTAGGACAGACTGAAGAGTAAGTTGATTGGAAAAAATTAGAAAAGAGGTTAGCAGAATCAGTGTCATTGCTAGCTTTATCCATCCCAAGAGAAAAAGAAGATAGCAAACTTGAAGACTTACGCTTCAAATTTACAAAATTGAAAAACTATCTCGGATTTTGGGCAAACTGCCTTTTGCAACGAGTTAAATAATTTTCATATTCTTGAGAACTCAAAAGAAAGAAGTTCGCCATGGCTATGGCATTAATCTTATCCGACAATTCGCGCAGCATGCCAGCGGAGCCCCCTTCTTGAGCCCCAGTAGTTCAACGATGTGTGCCTGAAATACTAATCGACGGTTATCGTTGTTGTAATAAATTTAATGCTATGGAATAATTAGCCTCTGAGTCCTTCAAGCAGAACGGCAAATGCTGCATTTTTTCAATGTTTGTAAGTTCGGGATGATTTTCGATTAAAGTTGTGAACATTGAAAAGAAATCTGACCACTCCGTATAACCTCCAGAAAACGTTGCCAATTTGATTGGCGGTAAGGTCAGTAACGCTCTGGATCTAGTCATTGACGCAGCAGCAATAAGTTCATTTACAAATGTGGAGCTGGACGGCAATGCTCTGCTGCGCTTAGCGATTTCAAACCGCACCGAACTCTCGAAAGTTACTGAAAGCTCATCAAAAACCTCGCGTAACTCACTGCCGATTTCGTCAAAGTCTAGTTGTTCCAATTTGTTTTGAGCTTCTTCGCATGCAGATTCCATTTTTTTAATCCGCTTGAGCAGCACCATCATTATTGGCAAGGGGCGTTTGGTTGAGAATAGATTGAAGCGCCGGCAACCGGTCAAACGAGGACGCCACTTTGCGCTTTAAAAATGACACCGTGTTTGTAGGCTGGGTCAGCGATTCAGCACTAGAACTTTCCATGGCAACCGAAGAAAACGAAAAAGGTTAAAAAAAACCGAATTAAAACTGCACACGAAAGTGCGTTGACCGTTGACTTATTGTCAGCACTGTACTCTTAAGCGCGCGCAACAGTTAGTGGAATAAAAACACAAGTAAAATGCAGATAGCGAGAGCCAACAAGTCTGTATGTAGGTGTATATATGCCTCACAGACTCCGCTTTACTGCAATTTACCGCATGACACTTGCTCGTACATATGTATGTAAATAAGTGCGGTTTTTAATTGCTGCCGAAACTGGTAACAACTACCTCAATTTTAATTTGAATAACTATGCAACAATATAATTTTAAATTAAAAGAATCACGTCGGGGTCACCAAAATGTTGGGCTAACAAGCTTTTTTGTTAGCTCTTAATAGTAAGAAGTTAATTATGTTATAAAAATTCCGCTTTTTCTTATAATTTTTTATTTTTTTATATGCCTATATCGAGCGTATTGCCAATATGCGAAAATGTACAATTTTTAGCGAAGCGATTGATAAGAGATACGGTATAGCGAACATACGAGACAAGAGTGCATTGCGGCTTCGCTATAATTGATGCGCTAGCCGCTGAAGACAAATGCAAAAGGTAAAAGAGTGCCATAACAGAAACTACAACGACAGCAAATAATATTGTGCTATTTTATGACATGCGAGATGCGCCAAACAAAACGAAATTGTGACTTTGCTTGCCTCGCAGGGCAATATGTAACTGAAATGTTATGCGAACATAATACTAGTTTAATTTGAAGCTTGCTGAGCCAAACATACTCCCCCGTTGAACGATTGAGCTTCATCAAGATCGTTAAGAGGAAGCAGACACAGCTTATTAGTGGCTCGCTTTATGATTCCAATAGCTGTCTTGAGAACTGCAACGTGTGTGCTCTCATATATATATATATATATACATATACGTATATACATACATATGAATAAGGCTGCAACACTTTGTTGTTATGCCAACATAAGCAGCGACTTTGTCGCAGCGCGCCTAACGCTAAGTGCCCTCTGCGCATATTCAAGAGCATACGAAATATGATCCGCACTTGATAGCAACGACCGCCCAAATGGCTAAGTCAGCGTTCTCACGCTTGACCGTCGCTGTGTATACATATGTGCGCGCATGACTCTCTCTGACTCTCTTGTTGTATATAAGCCTAAAAAGCATGTATGTAAAACGGCTGCTCACTGCTTCACGGTGGACAGCTCTAACTCCAAGAATCATTGAATAAAGAACCATCAAGAAAGTCTGACGTCTTCTAATCAGGGAACTATTATATGGCGACCGTGACTAAGGTCAAGCCAGACCTGGACATGGAAAAGCAGCAACGGCAGTAACAACAACAACAGCAGAAACAACATAATGCAAAGAAGAAGAAAAAGAGAGCTCCTAGCAGGATCGCCAAAATAAAAAAAAAAAAGGCAGTGAGTAGAGTGTGTGTGCAGAGCGAAGCGGTGTGGTAAAAGACTTAAGGCCAGAAAGGCAGAATTGTTAAAGCTGTTAAACAGCAAAAATGTCATAAGTTGGGACAACTCGGTTAAGTTACATGCCGAAGTTGAACACATAAAAAACTTACTTTCAACACGAAAAAGTCAAACACCAGCCGCGCACACATCCACCTACCCTGATATCAAAAATATTGCAAAGCAACAATTAATCCAACAACCACCCAAATTAAAGGAGATTCCGAAGCTGAATAAAGAAATTGCTCACATTAAGTGGCAATTATATTCACCCAAGGCCAACACACCGTGGAAAGCAACAGCAAGGCTACAGGCCATGCTTGACTTTTATCAGCAACAGCTGAAACAAATTAAAGAAAACCCAACACCACAGACTCACTCAGTGAATATCAAAAATATTCAAATTGTTAATAACAAAGCTATAACCACACCACCTCCCAAAAGCAAAGTGCCTAAGTACGTCAAGCAATGCCCAGCAGATTGCCCTGGACCTCTGGACAGCCCACACTGCAGATCGACTTGCCTGGTAAGGCAATAACCTGTGCGAAGACCGGCACCGGTTCCGCCTGAGCCCATAGGCCCAGGACAACAGCAGCTGAGAAATCAACAAGCGCGAGAGGCACCCCCGCCCCTTGCGCCTTCGAAGGGAGCGTCAGCGCAACCATAATGGTGATGACCAGCTGACGCGGAAGAACAGGAACAGCGGACACCAGCAATAATTTTAAAATATATATATTATTATCGAAACAATTTATGGAAAATTGAGCAGAAAATCTTTTGCCCAATCAGAAGTGAGGCCCATAAAGCCAAACTAAAAAATTAGGCAGGTTGCTATGTCAAAAAAAGAAAATTTTTTTTTACACGTCTCAGGCACTGGGTAAATTACCCAGTAGCAAACAAATTAATCCAAATCTTAAATTCCAAATAAATTTGAAATTTTAAAAATGAAAAAAAATAATAAGTTTTCAGTTCAGTCAGTTTAATCAGAAATCAGAAGAAAAAAAAACAAATCAAATCAAATTGAAGCCATAGGCAGGAAAAATGTTCCATTTATGAATAGTAATGCAATAAGCAAGTTTTCCAAAGATTTTCTAATTCAATCGAATCATAATTTTGAACAAAACTCCAAAATGGGACTATTAGACGTTAAGTCAGTGGATTCCACTGCTAACGTTATAAATAAAGTTGAATCAAACAACACCGATTTAAAATTAACAAATATATTACTGATAATCATAGTTGTTATAATGTGTGCAAATTGTTTTTATAAAATATATAAACTGCATAACAAATGCCTAAAGAAAAGATTCATGAGCCGAGCAAATGACTTGGACAAAATTTAAATTTGCACAGCACAAACAACAATGATTAATCATAATTGACAATATAATAACTATAAGATACCAGT